TTAACTCCCGTACAAAAGTATTAATGTGACTTATGTACTAAAAGTATATATCCTAGGTTTTATTAAAGGCAGTTTGAACTAAAAAGATTTAAGTTTATTAAAAAAGGTTCCCCACTAGTTCATAACAACAGCAACTTCCTCCCGCGAACACTTCGAATTCGCCGGAAGAGTTCATTACCAAGAAGAAGTGGGGAGATGTGGTCAACATTTACAAATGTTTAGTTATTTCCTTGGTAAATATAGTGTTAAGCGTTTCATCAAGCAAAACATAACTTAATAAATAAATTAGTGGGATTATGTTCTTTAATTTATGTTAATTTGATTTAAAATGTTGTATACTTAGGAAAATAGAACCCCCTCATTTTAGAAGCATGGTTTGTAAACCAGCGTAATGCGACGCCCTCGTAGCCCTGACGTAAGCACGTCAACGTAGTATAAACAAGCTCGCTCTCGCGATAAATGCAGGCCCGTAGCCAGCCTGGTGAAAGGGGTGGTTCTTTTTTTATCAAAAAGTGGACCTTTTGTGCAGTTATACGTCTCAGTTTCTAGTTAACTATGAGATTTAAATACTGCATTTTAGTGTTTTTTTTTAAATGAAATTAGTCAGACGTCATCACAACCACACTTTTTGATTTACTAAAAATATTTCCTAAAAAATTGCAATAAAAAAAATTAAGACTAATTTTTAAAATACAAATTTCGGACATCATATATCATTAGGAAAAAAATAGGAATCTGTTAAAGTTTTAAAGTAAAATAAAATGTAGCCCACTATCATTTATTAGACAAAATAATAATAATAATAAAAATAAAACAATTATAATGAATTCTTCTGAATTTTCTAGTCTCTCTGGTAAAAAAAAAAAACAAAAAAAAAACAGTACATTTGAAAATTCCTGGATATCAACAACAGCCAAAATATTTTCAAATTAATTTAATATGCTCAACTTCTGGTGCTTCACACCTTTTTTATTGCTCTTTTTTCAGAAATAAGATCCCAGATTTAGAATTAAAGTTACCTGTAAAATGTTTTCTCTGTTTAAAAACAAGTAGTGAAAGAAGACCCTTACATCAGATTATAGTCCCACCGAAGTAACAGCCGACAGAGGACTCCGTCTGATCTCAATGGATTATTTTCATTACTTATGATGGCATAGCAGTCAAAATAGGACAAATGAGCTCATGTATGGGACAAATTCTGGACCTTTGCCAGTGAGGGGTGGGTCTTCCGAACCCCTTGGCTAAAAGCTTGAAGAGTTAGAACATGCTTTATGCTTATAGTAACCATGTTTTTAATAGAACCGTGCCTGTAAAAGTGCACCTACAAGGTGTTTCAGGCGCAGGTCAGATTTTCTCCAGGTCATAATTTAATTTATTTATATGAATTTTGTCTAAAAAATGATTAGACCTGTTCAGTTTTATATGAAATGCATCCCACATCACCTACTAAAGTGGTTTGAGCGATCGGATATCTGATCAGAATAAAACGAATGAAGTGAGCAAACAGCCCTATAAATACAGACGTGACGGGAATATATATTGAATATAAATATATTATATTAATTGTATAATACACATATTATATAATATTAAATTACATAAAATAATTAAAAGGACAAATGCTGGACCTTTTGGCCGCGGGGGGTGGTTAGCAGCAAGTAACATGCTATAGGTTATGTGACCGCTAGATGGCGATCTTGGATAAGAAGAAGCTTACCAAAACTAGGCGTTAGAGCGATGTGTCCTAGCCGGGCTCACTTTCTGTTCTAATGTCCCGCATCTGTCTTTAATTATATTCATCTGTCTCCATATTGTACGGCATCCCAGAATATTACACAGAACCAAAAATGTAAAAATATTCAATATATTTAATATGTTTTTGTCCACAGCCGACCGCAACTCGCCGTGACGGAAATTCCCGAGCCCGTGTGCTCCAATGAGATGTGCTCTTTTCAGCGCTCACCATGACAACAAGACTCACAGCAGAGACGTATTGTAAACATTTGCATCTGCATTCCTATAAAGCTCGTCGGTTCTCTCTCAGTGTTGTCAGTTCGCTCGGTGTTGCTGTTTGTACTTGACCAAGGTGAGTTCAATACCTGACGGGACGAGTGGAGCCACGCCAATCTCACGAAGTCCGCTTTGCGAAGCTTCACTCGGGCCGGTCTGTGCTGTAGTTCCTTGCAGTTTGTGTACATAAACGCAATATCGCGAAGAATATTATGTGTTTGTTGCTCGAAATGTGCCGCCGAGCAACGTCCAGTGAACACTGGCACGGACTGGTGACCGGTTAGCTCGTGCACTCCCTGGGGTTAGGCGGCTTGTGAACCCTAGGCAGGGATCAATGCAATCCGTGAGGACCCTCAGGAAAACACGGGAGGCCAGTAGTGGGACCCCGCTGCGAGGATTATTGTGGGTGGGAGCAGCGAGGCCCACTCATCGTCTATTTTAAACTATAGTTCCAAACTTTAGTTTACTATAGTTTAAAATAGAAACCATGGTAACTGTAATGATTTAACTGTATGTCTGGCTGTTGTAATGTTTTGCTTTGTTTTTTAGCAGAGTTGTTAAGCAAAGAAGGACTATTGAAGACAACTGTTGAAGACAACCGCGGGTTATGATCATGAGCACGCATTATAATGTTTCCGTGCTGTTTTCTGAAAGTTTATCCTGTTTAGATAAGTTTGCAGGTCAAACAAAATAAACTATGCTCTATCTAAACACCTGTCTCGTGTTTTTTTTTTTTGTCCTCTACAGCAATACACTGTCATATAGGTCTGGTGAATGCATTTGTATGCAATATGGTTTGACAATAAAGTAGTCTAAAAAATAGTTGTTATAAATGTACCTTCATTAGTCAACATTTGGTGTAGGTAATAAAAAGTTAATCAAATATGTCCAAAGACATAGTGGTAATGTAATGGTTGTTACATAACTGTATTTATTATTATTCTGTATGTTTAAAACCATTAGATTATACTTTATAATAAACATGTTGTGAACTTACTTTTATTCAAACAAACAGCAAATACATTTGCTTAATATAAAATGTCCTAAGACAAGAATGGGTTTTGTTTTGGTTTTATGTCAAACTACTGTAGGTTTTAGGTTGATACAGCAGTTATCTATATCATGATATTGGTAGTCAGAGTTATTTAAATGACCCAAATCAAGTAACTTTTCTTTTACTCAAGTACTTTTAGCATGCAAAAGTCAAATGTAAGTATATAAAATACATTTTCCAACAATACAATTTTGTCTTTTGCAAATGACCAGTGGGTGGTGAGAAAAAAAGTTAATGTCAAGTTATATATATATATATATATATAACTTCAACTTATATAAGAAGTTGACCAAGTTGTCAATATTTAGTCATAACTCATTTTTCTATACATTTCCATTAGACTTTTTTTCTAAATCTATAATTGGTAAATTGCTCCCAGGTCAATCTTGACTTTGTCTAGTGAAGGTGAGGTGCATCTGAAGGGAGATTGTCCCTTTACAATGTTCACATTTCTACTTTTATTTTGTTTTTTCTTTGTCCTATGTAGGGCTGTCTTTTTCTTTCTGTATCACAATGACATGATCTGGCAACAAATTACAGTACAAACAGCAAATAAATAAAAAAATAAATTAGCAACAGTTTACATCAGAACACCCCTCAAGAGTACACTTTTATACTGACAACATGACCAGGCCCACAAAGAAACTACGTGTGCAGAATTTCACAGATTCTTAGCCCATCATTGATTCTGTTTATTTACTTGTGTAAATGTTTGTAAATCAATATTTATTCAGTTTTTAAATTATTTACAATAATATTATTGAATAATGTGAAAATATTCATATGAGTTATTTACAATACAGTCATATTTTCTGTCTTTTAGTACAGATTATATGAAAGACTTGCTTTGTTTACCAAATAAAGAGGATATAATTGGATTTGCAATGTAAACATTAAACACAAGTTAAACTGTATTACTTTTTAATCAATATAATAAAGTTTTAGTTATGATACTCCCAAAATAATTCAGCATAAATCCGCAGATTTTTAACACAATTCTGTGCAGACATAGCAAAAAATGTCCACAGATTCGGTCTGACCCTAAACATGATGGACTGTCTTTTCTTTCTTTTCTTTTACTTCTTGGTTAACTCTTGTGTATTGTTCAGATAGACTCCGCTTTTGTTATGTTTGTGGCTGTTTTTGCCCAATTAACTTCCATTAATATGACATTTTTTAGATTGCAAAGCCATGACACCATATAATCATGCGTTCTTGATTGTTGGTGGTTTTACCTTTTGGGAAGAGGTAAAATGTGCCATTTTTACCGCTGACTCTAGATACGCATGTGCAAAAAAAATTCTGCCCTGTATATATGGAGTTCTATATAGTATAATAGCTAAATCTAGTTTGCATGCATAAATACACTTACAGTACTATGTTTACTATGTTCTGAGAGCTGGGTGCCTATTTTAATTTTCTTAGACATATAAAGGTAAGTGCGCAAAGGTCTCTCTCTCACATATACACACACACCATACTCATCATACTCATACAGTATAAACGCAAGGAGCTTTCATTGCACTGCAACTGATGATCAACAGTAAAAATGACAAATTTTACTTCTTCCCAACAGAGAAAACCACCAGTGATAAAGAATGATTATATGGTGTCATGGCTTAGTTTGCAATAAAAAATGCAATTATAATAGAAGTCAATGGGGCAAAAACAGCCACAAACATGATGAAAGGGTAGTAAATTTGGCCAGATGGTATTGTTGAGTTGTTGTTTTTTATTTCAAAGCCTTTTCCCAAATTATGCGTCAAAATGAATCATTTGTCACCAAAACTCTTTCAGATTGTTGAAACAGTGAAAGATGTGACTCCAGCAGAAAACATCTGCAACAGCACCAAGGGTTAACTGCTAGACAATTTATGACAGCATAAAAGTGTCTGTAAAAATAATTGTTAATTGAAATAAGACATAAAACACCTGGTTACTAATTCTTTTTCAATTTGATTTATTAAAAGGCACTAATAACTCATCTTAAAAACAAACATTTACAGTAGACGAGTTCAATCTAAGAGTTTAATATATATAAAAACCTCAAAACAGCACATTCACAAAAACATTCGCACATCACACCTTCTTATAAACTCTTTTACGGACAATATATTATATTTATAAGCTGTACATACCATATTTACATCCAACAATTCATAAAAAATGAATTGTTTATTCAAAATATCTTTCTCTTTTTGTGTTCATTAACAAAAGCACACAATATAAACGGTCACACTTTACAATAAGGTTCATTAGTTAATGTTAATTAATGCATTTACTAACATGAACAAACAATGAACAATACATCTACTACTGTATTTGTTCATTTTAGTTAACATTAGTTCATGAAAATACAGTAGTTCATTGTTAGCTCATGTTAACTCATGGTGCATTAACTAATGTTAACAAGCATGGACTTGGATGTTAATAATGCATTTGTAAATGCTCAATTATGATTAATAAATGCTGTACATCTGTTGTTTACGATTAGTTCATGTTAGTAAATGCATTAACTAATGAACCTTTTTGTAAAGTGTTATATAAACAAACCATTTCTCATTCATCCAGATTAGTATTACATTACAAACCAAGAGACTTTTTTTGGTGGGCCAAGGACAAATAATGCACCTGAAACTACAGTATATTGACAATACACCTTAAGAAATGACTTTTGCTGCTGGTGTAAACATATAGAATATGTAGACAACTTAATTGTTTAATGTTTAATTACCTCAAATCTGTAAAAACAATTAAGACAATTTGATCTATTTGTGTTGGGACAACCTGAAAGATTTGTGCGGAACCCAGCATCTTTTATAGTGTAAGAGTCACTAAGACATTCAATAAATTAAATCTTCCATTTGGATGATGATATAGCTGAACATATGGCTTCATGTAATGGATATTCCCATGTGTGCATTGAAAATGCCCAGAAAGTTCCTGAAAATGGAATTGCATCTGACCGATCCATTTTTTTCTATTCAGGACTTCACATTGCGATGAAATTAATCCGGCAGAACAACAACATAATCCCCCGAACAATTAACATCTGAGAGAAATAATAATAAAAAAAAGTGTTCATGATTAATTTGGGTAAAGTAACAGTTTTTGGATATTCTTCTAAAATCTGAAAACTGAAATAAAGGTTAAAATTAATGTGTTAAATGGTAATAATCAAAACTCACTTTCATAATCGTTCTCCTCATCGCCCACTTCTGCTCCTGATGCTGGAAATTGCAAAAGCTGTTGTTGCGGCAGTGTTTTTCTTTTCAGTGCATGGCGTAAACGTGTTGCAAGTCCTTGATTATTTTGCTTGTAATGATGAATTAGATCCTTCATGTTCTTGAAAAACTTTTCCTCTACACCTGAACTGGCCTGAAACAATTTGAAGTTGCATTTCCTTGAATTCAGCAGTAATTTGCAGTAATTGAATTGAATACATTTGGTTATAATAATTACAATGCTTATTTCATTGTATCCTACCTGTAGGGTGAAGGAGCCTGAGTGAGTTTGGAGGATCCTGTATGTATAGACCACTTTGTGTTTGCTGTAAAAATGCATATATAAATATACAGTAAGCCACAATATTACATACAGAAATATGGCACGTTTAATCATAATATAATATAATATAATATAATATAATATAATATAATATAATATAATATAATATAATGTAAAAATATAATATTAAAATAAATTATATTAAATGTATGTTTAAAAAATAATATAATATAATATTATATTAATATTAAAAATATTAATATTAAAATAAAATAATGTAATATAAAAATATTATTTTAAAATATTATAATTTAATATAAAAATATAATATTAAAATAATATAATTTAATATAAAATAATATATTATTAAAATATAATATTAAAATAAAATAATATAAAATATATTAAAATAATATAATTTAATATTAAAATATGATATTAAAATAAAATAAATATAAAATATATATTACACAAATAAAATAATATATTAAAATAAAATATTAAAATAAAATAAAAAATATAAAATATAATAATATAATTTAATATTAAAATAAAATAATAGAATATTAAAATATAATATAGAAATAAAATAATATAATATCAAAATACAATAAGATAATATAAAAATATAATATTTACATAAAATAACTTTATATTATGATATAATATATAATAATATATTATTAATATTGTTTTATAATTAGTCAATTAAACTTTCAATACAAGCTTTTTTTTATAAATATCATTTCATTACAAAAGATCTCACCAAGCATTAGAACATGTTCAGCCACTATCAATGATCATTGGTAACTCTCTGTTCTCTGTGGCAACAAGCGTCCTTATACAGTGTAACTTTAGGACTATTAGGAACTTTTTAACAGTTCATGTTTTTTGAGCACAGAGCCAGTTATATTTAAATATGCAAAGTAAGATTTTACTTCTTGGTTAACCATAGTTTATTGTTCAGATAGACTACAATTTTGTTATGTTTGTGGCTGTTTTTGCCCAATTGACCATTATAATGAAATTTTTTAGATTGCAAAGCCATGACACCATATAATCATGCATTCTTGATTGTTGGTAGTTTTTCCTTTTGGGAATTGGTAAAATTTGTCCCATTTGTGAACATCAGTTGGCACCATTAAACCTCTAGATACACACAAAACAGCTTATATATGGAGTTCTATATATCTACTTTTATATAAGTGTAACAGTGCACTATAGTTTGCAGTACTATTGTTTACTATGTTCTGAGAGCTGAGGTGCCTATTTTGATGTTCTCAGACAAAGGTCTTTCTCACACACACACACATGGAAACTAAGCTTTTATCGCACTGCAACTCATGATTAACAACAGAGCAACCAACCAACAATAAAGAATGATTATATGCTGTCATGTGTTTGTATTCAAAAAAGTAATCACTGTATAATGGAAGCCAATGGGGCAAAAACAGCCACAAACATAACGAAAGGGTAGTAAATTTGCCACCAAAAATCTTTTCATTCGCATATTCAATCTAAAGACTCTTGGGAATCTAGCATTTTAAGTTTGTAAATCCTCTCTTTCTAACTTATACACTGATGTCACTGGCTCTTTAAAACAATTGTGAGTAATGTGCTTAATACTGCATTTAAGTGCATATGTTGCATGAATCTGTTCAAAGTGACGATCCCTCTTTTTTTGGTGGTGGTGGGAGGGCTCTCAGTTCTGTTATGAACTAGTTCTTTATTATTATTATTATTTTTTTAATAATGATTAAACATCTTAGAAATGTTCAATAAAATGTTACATAAATAATTCTGTTCATTATTCTTGACTGAAAGTAGTTTTCCTTTTTATAATTGTGGTTCTCAAACAAGCTCTTAATAAATCTAGCTTTATAGTTCACTCACAATCTTAGTCTGAGAATGTGGTTTGTAAGAAACAAAAGTCCTTTATCAGCTTTTAAAAGCAGTTTCTTCTTCTTACGAGCAGTAAGAAGTGTTACGTGCATTCATTTAGACAACAGCATCAAGTAACTTAGAATAACCAATAGGGATGTAACGATTCACCTGGCTTACGATTCGATACGATTCAAGATTTAGTCATGATTTTATAGATTTTTTAAAACAAATTTAAGCTGAAGAGCCCTTTCATTTTTTTCTTAAATGCTGCACTTTTTTTGCTAAATAATATATTTTCTGCCATAGCCAAAGTACTATTTTAAAAACAAATAAATTCCAATATTAATAATACTTCAAACGAAAGAAGACTCCTTAATATAAACAAACTAAAACTGTGACTGCAGGAATTTAACATTTAAAAAAAAAAAATATCCGCATATCTATGTTTTCTGGCATAAGCTGAGGTCCTTAAACATTTACAATGTCCCCTGCTGATGAAAAAACTCTTTCACTGGGGACTGAGATGGCTGGTGAGGAGAGGAAAGCCTTTCCTAAACCAGAGAGGAGAGGTGATCAGTATCCCCTCTGACTCAGGGGACTGGCCACTGGCATAAAAATCCTGACAATACAATGACTAACTATATAGTAGAATAGAGAAAGGAGTTGAACATAATTATGAAGGTGATTAATTAATATTACTTGTATAATTAACTAAGTATTAGTGTTATACACTCAAGAAAAGATAATCTTCAAAATTTTTAAACCTTCAATAATTATTTTTAAAATAAGCATAAACTAATGTGAAAAGTAGAGGGTAAAATAATCGATAACCTGGTTGTGTAACAGAGCAACTTTCTCTTTCAGTCTGAAAAACATCTTCACACTTTTGCTATGAAAACACTGATGCACCGTGTGACCTCTGTAGCACTTGTCAGATCAAGCGGAGCAAATCACATGGTTTGGCTTATTAAGAGGTTTTTTGTGTTCAGACGCCTGTGACAGTAGTTTGTTCACAGTGCTGACGGTGAGCATTCTTTTTGTTGTTCTGTTGGTGTAAGTAAACGTCTTTTCGCAGTATATGCACACAGTTTTGCTGCGTCCCAAATCGCATCCTTTTAATAGGCCCTAAAAGTATATACTCTTTTGTGAAGGAAAAATATATACTTTTGAGTGTGCAAGCTTTGGGACATACTACTTTCTCATTATTAGATCGTTGTGTTGCTTAGTTAGGAGCCTTGTCAATCATCCACACATATTTCATATTAAATTTCTTACTTTATTGAAGATGCAGCAGGTTAATCTCCCATTCACCAGTATTTAATGCAGGGAAATCTCCTCAAGTGTTTGAATAATTATGCATTCAGAGGTTATCTTCTGAACACGTCTTTATATAAGTACAGTATTGTTGTTGCAGATGAAATACAACACAACAAATACTATTTAAATATTGTCCACTGGGCTAGATATTAAATAACAGTCATACAAACATCTTTACCATAGCCTCCCTAATTGAGGATTGGTCATGAGCATCTATCATATTTGTAGTTTATTTACACTTTTCACCTGCGTTTGTAGTTCTACTTGAATTCACGTCCAATGTGCAATGTATTGTGGGCAATATCAGCGTACCAGAGTATGGACAGTTCCACACTTCAATTTTTCACTGCAAATAATAAACCATCCAGAAACTTTTGAAACCTCTTTTCAACAGTACGAATTGGGACATACTAATTCTATTCTCAAATATTATTTAGAACGGATAGTATGCAAATGGGGACGCAGCATTTGTGTTTTGTCTGGCGCACTTCACTGATGCCATTTTTGTTTGTCATTGATGTACCTGTAAACACGGTGAAATGTATCGAAATTTATTCAACATTTCCCCCAATTTAAATCGTCAAATATTTTAATCAAAATTCAACCGGCTCACAGAAAATGGTTACATCCCTAAAAACAAGTAACTTATATCGAGTAACTTAACTGTTGAAATAAAACTAGTAAACACTTTCTCTGGAAAGTGACCAAAAGACCTCCAGGAAATGCTAGGCTCTGTTTTTTTCTAACCACCACTGATAACAGTTCCTTCAATCATCACCAGGTTCTTTCATTAGCAGTGGAAATGCTTAAGCTATTAAAAGGGGAACAATTAAAAAGTAAAACTAAAAAAAGAAATAGTCATTTCCATTATGTCAGCGTAAATGAACTATTGAGTCACTGAATTTACAGAAAATGTACTATATCAGCATATGAAAGAGTTTTTTTGACTACAAGATTTGCATTTGTTTTCCCTACTTTGGATGTCAATGGTCACAGGTTTCATCAACACTCTTCAAACTATCTTCTTTAGTGTTCAATAGAACACACACACACACAAAAAACTTAAACTGGTTTGATACAAGTTAATAATGGGTTAATGATGACAGAATATTCTTTTTTGGTTGAATTTTAAGACAATTTCAGGTAAATTAACACTAAAGGCCCTATAATTCACCCAGCGCAAGACATGTTTGCCCCAACTTGTTGCTATTTTCATTTTCAGACCAACGCAACATTAATTTTCCGTTTTCCACCATGTAGTTTACATAGAAAATCTGTTTGTGCCACTTTGTAGACACATGGGTGTTTCGGTTTAGAAAGGAGATGTGTTAAGGCGCATTGTTGGCACGTTGCTATTTTAAGGAAATAAAATAGAACGTGCAACAGACCAGCTGAAAATCCAGCGCAGAGCGCATTAGTTGTGCACCTCGCTTACATGTTGCTTAAAACACAAATAATACACAGCAATACGCAAATATCTTTACAAATGAAAAAAATTAAAGGAATAAAATAATTTTAAAAATGGTACTTTCTACATAAATATAAAAACCACTACCTTTATGCCTTCATCTCGGGGGGCTTTTTCAGTTTATTCATGACAATTTTCTTTTGTTTAATGTTATTATAATTAGTAGTAGTGGTCGCATTCATTATATGCATATTTATATTTATTTTATTAAAAACAAGCTTAGATAAGTCCACCTGTCAGGTTTTGGACTACATGGGGCATAGCATGTGTGTTTGCATATGACTCACTTATGTGACACGTGTGTTTTAAGCACACTTCGTCATTATTGCTCATTGATTCATTGGCTGGAAATTAGAACTGAATTTAGAAATAGT